CTGTGTTTAGGAATACAGAGCATCGAGGTTCACTAATACCCATCACGGAGGTTCTGTGTACCCTCCTTGGTCCCCTGTGTCCCTGGACCCAAGGTGTGCCCACCCTCTGCATTTAACACCCATGTTTCTGTGAACCAAGAGTTCCTGCAAAGGCCAGAAAAGCATGGGACCCAGAGGTTGGCACTTGGGCTGAAGCTCACATGCAGAGCCATGTGCAGGGCCAAACAGGTGATTAAAAATGAGAGCACTGGGCCAGACCCAGGCTGAACCCTGGAACAGGCAGAAGCAAATCTCCAGCAATGAGAGTTTGCCAGGGGCAGAGCACTGTCACTTCCCTCCTGCCACCTTAAGTGTTAAGCCCAGGGAGAGCTAAGATCTCAGTGCCCACAGCAGCACCCCAGAACTACATCCCAAAGAGGGGTATAGAGAGGAAGCACTTTGCTTTTCATAGCTCCTATTTCTGTGTTCTTATTACATGCACTGTCCTGTTTTCATGTTTTTGTTGCAGTTCCAGGTAGAAAGGGCTAATGCATATTAAGACTGAAAACAGAATGTTAAATGGCATCATAGAAATATTACAACAGGAGGGCTGAGAGGTTATCTAAATCAACTTCGTGTGAAAACTGAGAAAACGAGACCCTAACAATGTCACATGGCAGCCTCCAAAGGCTAGCTTTGGGTTCCAGAAGAAAGTGTGTGTGTGTGTGTGTGTGTGTGTGTGTGTGTGTGTGTGTATGTGTCTCTACAGAGAGAGAGTATATAAGGTGAATATGTACACTTGCATTTATGTATAAACATGAATACATACACAGAAATATATAAGGTATATATATATACACACCTATAAAGTATATGTGTGTGAGTGTATTATGTGTGTATATGTATATACAGAGAGAGCATATAAGGTGAATATGTACATGTGTATTTATATGTAAATATATAAGGTACATGTATACACACCTAAGATGTATGTGTGTGCGTATATATGTGTGTGTATGTAAATATGTATATATATATATACAGAGTATATAAGGTGTATATATACATATGTGAATATATAAGGCATATATGTGTATATATACAGTGTATATAAGGTGAATATATATGTATATATATAAATATATAAGGTATATATGTGTATATATTTATATTAAGGAGTGTATATATACATATGTGAATATATAAGGCATATATGTGTATATATACGGAGAGAGTATATAAGGTGAATATATATATGTATATATATATATAAATATATAAGGTATATATACAGAGTATATAAGGTGAATATATATGTATATATAAATATATAAGGTATATATGTGTGTATATATTTATATATAAGGAGTGTGTGTCTATCTGGATTTGTTACTGTCTAAAGGCAAAACAAGATCTGGATTTGAAACACAATAATGTATATGAACATTAGCAGAAAAAGCCCACCGAATTTCTCCCACACTGGGACACTGCAGAGTCCTTCCCTTCTGGATGGTCTCCCTGGCACTTGTGCTTCTTTCCTTTCTGACCTCTGCCTAGTCACAGATAGAGATGGATTTTGATGGAACTGGAAGAGTTGTTCTATTTCCATGGCAACGTCAATTCACATTCTGCAGGTACACTGGCTGCCACTGCCTAAATGAAGGCTCCCGAAGGCTCTGTGTGTTGCTGTGCCTGGCCAAAAATAACTTGGCATGCCACCGTTTCTCACAGCCCCATGGAGAGAGGCATTAAACTGACTGGATGCCAACTGTCAACTCTGTTCCCTTCTTCCTGCTAAAGAGGGAGAAACAGGACCTGCCAATGTTTGGGGGAGGGAGACCAGCGAGGCTGCCACATTGTTTCCATGGTCTAAGAAATATCGCCTTTCCTCTGTTGAATGGAACATGAAATACATTTTAACTTGTTCACCCCAGGGGCACCAGATAATTTGTATTTCAGCAGTAGTATTATAATTACATAGTTTAGAGTTAGAATTAATTAGCATTTGGGGAAGTAGTGATAAAACCAAGCAGTTATTAAAAAATTAATTTTAATAGAGGTCAGTTTGGAGAGAGTACTTGGTTTCTTTTGAAAGACTTTTGTGTGTGTATGGTGGGGAGATGAAAGAATAAAATTATTGCACGATCCTTTAATCAACCTAAAATGTGAACACCTTATCATTAGATGCTACCACTGAATGCTAAAATCCAAATCAGTGGCAAGATGCAGAGGATATTTCAAAAGAAGTCAAGAGTTAGGTGAATCTTTGAGGGTTATCTATGAAGAAGAGCCTTTAAAAAACATATCATGTTCCTAAAAACATGGGTCATAGCAACCTTCTTGATATTAAATATCATCAAGAATGATTTCACATATTATACTGGATACATGAGATACTTATTAATAATTAAATATTGCTTGAAGAATAATTTTTGAAATGAGGGAACACTGCCTATGAGTGGGCTGAGTGTCAGGCTCTCCTGGGAGGGCTCGTGCACCTGGGAATACATTCAAATATTTGCCCTCATGAAGCTTTTACTTTGTTTTGAGTGAGGAGTTAGAAAAGACTGTTTGTAATTTTAAAAAGTATTTTCACCTTCAATTGGAGTTGTACAACACTCTTCTAAGTTCTTAAAATCAAAGACTGTCAAAGATAAATTTTAATTTTTTTCTGAAACTGATCATGGTTCTGTAGTTATACAAGAAACTGTCATGTTCTCAGGAAGTAATGTTGAAACGTGGGGAGAAAGAGACATGAAGTATGCAGCCTACTCTCCAGTTGTTCAGCAACAGCAATAATTGTTTTCGTTAGAGTGAGAAAAAGGGAAAGCAACGAAGGAAATGAGGTGACGAGGTATCACTGGTGAGTGGAAGTGGAAGGTTGGCTGCAGGTTATTGTGCTGTTCTTGTAACTTTTCCTCCATTTGCGTATGTTTCTCTTCAAAACAAGTTAAAGTAGTCTATAGTTTTAGGGGGAAACTCTTTTTTAAGAAAAAGGGGCAGTGTGAATATTTATTTTTACTTTTTCTTAAAGAAATGAATTCCCAGTCTTTTTGAAAATCTAGAACATCAACACTTATAAGTTTATACTTCTTTAGTTTTCAGATTATAGTAGAAATTATCCTAGTACTTTTCTGATACAAGAAGTAGCCTTTACTGACGTACCAATATTTTTAAGCAGTGCCATCTTCTAAGCAATATTTTCTTAACTTTGCTTCTAAATATTTGAAAAATGTCCTTTTGGCAAAGTCTATAGTTTCCTTTTCCTTTGAAGACAACACCCTTGCTGCCGTTTGGGGACAGAATGATCAGCTGACCCACTCCACATCTATGTACTCTACATCACAGTTGTTCCCTTTTAAGGGCTCATTGGAGAAGAATACGTGGGATTTGATAAGCTCTGCTGATAGTTTAATAATTATGAATATTTAACACACATTATACATTTATCCCACATTTACTAGTAAAGAGCGAAAATAAGGAATGAAAGCAAATTGTTCTGCAGAGTCCATTGGTGTATACTATTATCATAACCCATAAAGAAAAAAATATATAAAGGAGCGTTAGTTTTTTTCCCATAAAAAGATATAAAGGAGCGTTAGTTTTTTTCCCATAAAAAATATATAAAGGAGCGTTAGTTTTTGGTTTTTTTTTATCTTATTGACAGTATTAGATGTTCCTGCAGAACATTAGAATATGCAGTGGTGCAACCTGAGTTGTCTGTCTGCCATTGAGGGGAATCTCTATCCATTTTATGCAGTATCAAAAGGGAAAACAAAGAATCAAAAATGCCAGGGTTTATTTTAAATTAGGAGATACGCTCTGATTTTCTGGTGTGTTAAGTTGAAGCCTGGAGCATTTTTCTTGCTTGTGAGTTTCTAACAATGAGCCCTGTTTTAAGAGGAAAAAGAGTGCTGTAGTCCAATCAATAAGACGACCTTGTTCATTTTCCCCGGGGATGAAGCATTGCCTGGCTCTCTGGGTCAGTGAAAACAGGGTGGGAAAAAGCTGATCCAGGAATGGTAAATTGAGGGTGCGGGGCTCTGCAACCCCTTTCCTATATTTCTTTGGGGACAAGGAGTAGGGTTCACCATACTTGTCCAGTTTTCTTTGCACTTGCCACTCTTTCTCTTGAATTATTTTGGGAGGTTACTTTCATTTTGGCACATTTTTGAAGAAAAATGTGTGCCTCCAAGTTCATGCCCAGGTTGTCGTCCCTGATTACACAAATGGCCTTGGAGTTTTCTTATGAATTCTGTATGCAGTCTTTCACTGCATGGCTTACCTAGCAGTTTGGGGAGAAAAGCCTTGAGAATGAAGTGCCTTGTATTCATTCAAGAGCCCCAAGAATGCCCCCATCAAGGTTTGTATTTTCTGTTCCAATCTGCGATCTGGTGTGTGGCAGATATTTTCATTATTCTTGTCTGCACTTATGTTTCATTGTTGTTGTTGCAGTTTTTTATTTTTAAATTCTATCTCTGATAGGTTGTTTTTCTTTTATTCTGTGCATCCATTCAACACCCCTATTGACATACTTTGGATATTTGTCCCTCCAAATCTCATGTCGAAATTTGGCCCCTAAGGTTAAAGGTGGGACCTAGAGGAAGGTGTTTGAGTCATGCGGACAGATCCCTCATGAATAGCTTGGGGCTACCTCTTTGATAATGAGTGAATTCTTCTATTAGTTTATGCGAGAGCTGGCTGTTTAAGGCAGCCTGCCACTTCCCCCCAATCACTCTCGATCCTTCTCTCATCAGATGACTCACTTGCTCCCTCTTCAGCTTCCACCATGATTCCAAGCTCCCTGAGGCCCTCGCCAGAAGCCAGTGTTGGCACCATGCTTCTTGTACAAAGTGCCGGACCCTCAGCCAGATCCATCTTTTCTTTATAAATTACCCAGCCTCATGCATTCCCTTACAGCAGCACAAAACAGACTAAGACATATATGCATAGTTTTCTTCTTAGATCTTTCTGTTGTTGGTCCCACGATAGACTTTCCTTTCTTTTTTTTTTTTTTTTCTCAATGTCTCCTCATTCGCAATACAGATCAGGCACAGGCCCTGGGCTGAGGTATGTATGGGGTAGGCAGGTTAGTTTCTCTCCTCTTTCTATGCTGTCAGTGTGAGAACACAGCCTGTGGTAAGTACCAGGAGGCCTAGATTTTGTTCTCTAAGTTTCTGCCTGCTGATGAAAACACTGCACACTTATTTTTGGGTGGTAATTACTTTCCTATCTTGACACAGATAAGTACCCAGATTTGTGTCCAGGGAAAATGACCACATGTGACCTGCGTGGAGAGCCATCCCTGTCTCCTGCTTTGGTCCGTGTCATGTGTTCTAAATTGTGCTTCTCTGCACAGGATGAAATTCAGTAGTATTCCCAGCAGAGAGAAGACAAAAGGGGAAGGCGAGCTGAGTTCCTAGGTAACAGCAAAGGACAGAAGGATTCCTGGAAGACAAATAGCAGGAATGAGAAGGAAAATGAAAGGCATCCTCAGAAAAAGGCAGAAAATTGGAGCTCCAAGAATGCCCCCATCAAGCCTTGTTTCAAACAGTGGAGGGAAGTGGCAAGCATTAAAGCTGAGAATTTTCTGTGCTCCCTTCCCTTCCCTGCAGTTCTGGGCCACTAGGGATGCAGTTGTGCTGTTAATGGGTCTAAGAAGGGGCCTTGCCTTGGTGTCAGCAGGGAGATTAGAGCACCATTACTCTTATGGCATACAGTAGTATAAATTCACTACGATAACTTCACTGAGCAAAGGTACAAATCAGCATAAGGACAACGATTTCTTTTTTCTTTTCTTTTCTTTTCTTTCCACTCTAGTTACCCAGGCTGGAGTGCAATGGCGCGATCTCGGCTCACTGCAACCTCCACCTCCTGGGTTCAGGCAATTCTCCTGCCTCAGCCTCCCGAGTAGCTGGGATTACAGGCACGCACCACCGTGCCCAGCTAAGAACAACGATTTCTATCATTGACTAAGTAAATAGTCAGATATCAATAATTTCCTAAGAATATTTTGACCTCTACTGGCTCTTGGCAGTAGATGAAGACAGAAGAAATGTGAAGACGACCTCCCCCTCTTTCTCCTCTCCCACTTCTCCTACAGGCTTTGAGGATCACTAAGTTTCACTCCTTCATTAACACATCTCTGACATTTTAGAGTCCAGAACATCACAAGATACCCATAATTTCTAGCCGGGCGTGGTGGCTCATGCCTGTAATCCCAGCACTTTGGGAGGCTGAGGCGGGCAGATCACCTTAGGTCAGGAGTTTGAGATCAGCCTGACCAACATGGAGAAACTCCATCTCTACTAAAAACGCAAAAATTAGCCAGGTGTGGTGGTGGGCTCCTGTGATCCCAGCTACTCAGGAGGCTGAGGCAGGAGAATCACTTCAACCTGAGAGGTGGAGGTTGCAGTGAGCCAAGATGACACCATTGCACTTCATCCTGGGTGACAAGAGTAAAACTCCATCTCGAAAAAAAGCTACCCATGATTTTCAATGATGTGAAATAATGGAGATAAGATTTAGCAGGAGAACAACAAACCTACCTGTCTCCTTGCTATTATATCCCCAGTGTGCAGTGGGGTGACTTCCCAGAGGAGGTGTGAAGTCAGTGTTTGTGGAATAACATATGAAAGAAAATAGACTCAGTTACTTTTGTGAGTAAGAAAGAACAGGGTTCACTCAGGATATAATGGACAAGGGAATTTCGTCTTATGTGTAATCACTGAATCATGTATAATTGGAAGGGGAAGATCACTGTTATGTTAATTTCCCCCTGCAAACACACAAACTCTTCTTGCAAGCCCCTGTAACCTATCTCCTCTGCCTTCTCAATGGTGAAAGCTTTTTGCATGCAAGTGTTTTCCGCAGAAGCAAAACCTCAAATCCAATACTTTTTGCAGGTTGCTGAAAGCGTGATTTATGTATAGACAGAGGTGCAAAGGGACTATTTTATTGGACATGAAGGATTCTAATTTTATTCTATAAATAATTGTAAAATTTGTAGATTCATGTGATATTAGAACCCAAAACAACATTAGTGATTCCATTCTCATCTTTTTCATGTTTTTAGTTTAGGAAACCTTTACTTTGGAGAAATGGTAGTTACTCAACCACAATCAAATTCATTTTGAATATTTTTATCATTAAGTAACACATTAAATTTATAACTTTTTTTCAATAGGAGCTGTGATATTATTACTCTAATCAAGAAATTAGTGCAATAACTTACATTAAGCTGAATGTCTTGTGTTTTAAATTTTATCTATATGTGAATATATTTTTAATGTCGTTTTTTTTTATCAGCCCTGTTAACTTGAGGGCTAGGGAAAATTCCTATTTCTTTATCTATAAAATAATGATGGTATCATATCTGTTCTGCGCTCCTCTTTCTTCAAGATTATCTGAGAAAAGTGAAAGCACTTTATGAACTATAAAGCAATATACCATGAATACCATGAAGAGAATTAAACAAATGATTATAATGTTGTTATTCTCTCAAATAAATCCAGCCTTTACCATTAACACATATGTGAACAATCCAAAAACAAGTCTGATACATTTTTAAAGGTCAAGAATTTTATAGAAGTTTTAAACTATAAAACAAACATGACATGATTTTCTCAAACATAAATTTCTTGCTTTTATGCTAACATATAAGTAAGCACAATAATAACCTATGGGCCAGCTCTGGCAGACTTCCAAATTAACCCATCTGGAAGAGGTCTTGTGTTTCATGGCAACATCCAGTCCCTGGGTAGCGTCTTATACGGAGTTCCTCAAATTGTTCACGTATTGCTTAATATGTAACTTACAGACACTGAAAAGGATGCTGATTTGTTTCAGAATCAGGAAGTCTGCCTAATTGTCTTACACAGAGACACTTTAACCTGTATGTTGCAATCTGTAGACAATGATGTTAACCTCTGTAATGTACCCTCCAATGAAAAAGGGCAGCTCTGGTGTGAGGAGTCCTCTTCCTTCTAAACTTTCTTATAAAGGCCTTCCAGTTAGTAGCCAACTATGGAACACACCCAACTTTTGTTGACTTCATGGGTCAATCCACATTTAGTTTCCAAGAAACATTTGTCAGTCATCACGTTTGATTTCTGATAAATGTTTATCAAACCTCAACAGTCTTAATTTTGGTCAACAATACTAACATTTTTAGCAACTTGTTATTCAAAAATTCATATATATTAATTCCTAAAGGAGGACTTATTACAAGGTAACAACCAGTCATATCTAAAATGCCACTAGACTGTTCCTTACAAAAACACTGTCTCTGTTGAATTAATTCTCCCTTCAATTCCTTATAAAAACACTATCTCGGTAGAATTAATTCTCCCTTCAATTCCTTGTAAAAACACTATCTCGGTAGAATTAATTCTCCCTTCAATGCTTTTTTGGGAAGCATAGCCTATATAAAGTTTATTTCTATATTGGACCTAGCTATACTCATTAGTGATTTCGTAGAGCTTTCTTTGCTATTTATTTTAGAGTGCTTTAAGGTGGGAATTTTAGATTCTTTTAGAGAAAAATCAAGGTATTTCTTATAAAGTCTGCTCTCAGTCCTAGTGTTGTTTGGCCTCAGAAGCATATATAACACTTTTATAACGTCACAGAATATGAAGGCATTGTGCTTGGGGCTCATTTCTGTTTTTTAATGTGATTCCACATGAGTTCTTTCATAGACATTTTACAACATTTTACTAGCTAGTGGTCACTGTGTGTGAAGTGCTGCTTATTGACTGAGCCCATGTCTGTGTCTGGTTTCCCACCTCATTCTGAACCCACTGCTTATTGGCATTTGCCGTTGGGGGTGAATGTACACAGACCTTTTGGGAAACCAGGCTCAGGCCCCAGGCTCTGAGTGAAAGGAACAAAGGGGAGATGCCATCCTCTCACCCCCTCTACCCCCAGTGAAAAATAGAAAACCAAATATCCTTAGGCTGCTTGTCAAGGATCTACCAGTTATGCCTTCAGAGTAAAAGAGAAGGGTCTTGGAAAAAGACCCTTTGCTAATCAATATACAACCAGGAAAGGGTAGAGAGGTTTGACATCTTGGGTATTAGGGTTCACTGCCAGGACTCCTTTTGAATTCTGCTCTTTGTTTTATTTTTTTGGAATCTATGGCTGCAAATGACTGTGCTTCTGGAAACTGAGGGCCTGATGAAAGTTCTCCCCTTTCCTATGTAATAAGTGACATTCAGGACTGACATCAACTTCCAAAAATATGCAGAATTTTAAAGAAAAATAAACAACTCTTCAATGAGGACAAGTTGCAATCTTGTGCAAAGACGAAGTAATGATGACTTTGTGTTTTAGGCATTAGAGAGCTCACCCATGTTCAGGCCATTTTACCACATTTAAAATTTTTTCATTTATCTTAGAAATGTAGCATTTTGCCGTTATTCTTTCTATCAAAATGTAGTTTTTCTGGCTGGACACAATGGCTCATGCATGTAATGCCAGAACTTTGGGAGGCTGAGGTAGGAGGATTACTTGAGGCCAGAAGTTTGAGACCAGCATGGGCAACATAAAGAGACTTTGTCTTTACAAAAGAAGTTAAAAAAAAATTAGCCAGATGCGGTGGTTTGTACCTGTGAGTTTGAGGCTACTGTGAGCTATGACTGCCCCACTGCATTCTAGTCTGGTTGACATGAGACTCTGTCTTTGAATAATAATAATAATGATAATGACAACAATAATACTTTTTAAATTGTTGCTTTTCTGCATGTTTAAATGCCAAACTACTTAGTTAATATTTTTAATTTCATTTAAATTAACCTATGCTTGGGATCTTTTTACCATTACCAATTTGCATTTGAAACACATAATTGAGTTATTCTAATAATCCAAAAACAGACTTTTGAGATCTTTTACCTTCTCTTTTTGGTTTATAAATAGCATATTAATTCCCGTTTAAAGTATGGATGCAGTATGGCTGTCAGCATATTCCATTTTAGTAATTTCATTGTTGATTTATTTCTTTTCTAAGAGTTACAAAAGCAATGGTTTTTTGCTTTCACAAATAGAAGTGACTTAGACTGGTAAATACTCACAGTTATGGTTTCTTCCCTGCCTGACAGTGTGAGTCAGAAATTAAATAAATCAATGATGACATTCCTAGAATTGAATCTGCTGGGACCTC